AATGAGTTATCCTTAGGAGAATCGGTGCCGTTTCTTTCATGATTCAAAATTGTGATTATCTGAAAACTAGCAATGAAGACTGATTCATGGGAAATAGCTAAATGAGAGCTATATTTCAAACACAGATGCATTTAAGCAAAGGACTAAGTGCAAAGTCAATGGCAGCAAGTCACCTCACTGAGTTCAGTTTTTCTTTGACATGATGGGACAACAGTAATGAAAGTGCAGAAGTACTGGGCAACATATCCTCTCAAAGCCTCTGTGACTGTCTTTCTATTATTCAGATTTGGGAGAGGTTTAAATGACACTGAAGTATCTGGCATATAGTGGGGGCTGAATAATGTTTTATTCTTCTGCCACCCAACAAGGGCAAGGACTAAATTTTTATTACCACATCTAATCCCTAATAAAGTATTACATAATAAGCATCTGTGGGGATAATATAAGGGGAAATGGCTTTACTTCCTGGAATTTACCAGAAATGATTTGTAGACTGCAAATTGGTGAGGGTAAAGGTGGTTTATAATCCTATAATTCAGTGAAAGTTGGCACATTGAGACACCCAGGGGAAAGACAAACGAAGGAACAGTGTCAACTCCTAAGACTGGTTTGAATCTAAATGCTTCAATTCAACTGGTGACTGACTATATGAGAGGCATTTTATTTCATGTCCTTTTTTATCTGTAAAAGTTCTGAAGTTAAACATAGAAGGAAACAAGAACTGGCTTTTCAATAAGTATTGAGAAAAGAATAAAAGTCAATGGTACACCTGCTGATCAAGTACACATCAAATGAAGATGTCTCTCTTAATAATTTTTTCCAAATACAAGAGAAACCTGGCATATGATACAGGTTAAATGAAGAAGGAACATTTCAAGAAATCAAGAGGAAAAATGACAAAGAGAGAGAGAGAGAGAGAGAGAGAGAGAGAGAGAGAGAGAGAGAGAGAGAGAGAGAGAGAGAGAGAGAACAGCACCACAAATCCTTAGATATTGTCCACAATTTAAAAAATACTAGAATTGAATTAATTTGCTTCACAAAACATCTCTAATAATTTCATATTAATGAAGGTAGGGGTGCATGCCTATTTCCTTCATCCAGCTAACAACCTGAATCAAATAGAATTGTTCTATCCAGAAAAAAATAAGCCCATGGGAACAACTAAATTTCTACATTACCAGAAGTCAAGGAATCTAAAATTAAATTAGATTGGTGAATGAGAACCAGAACTTGACTCTAATTCAGAAACAAACTTACAGTCCCACATAAAATGTCACAAGCATGTGATGCCCCAAAATTGTCCTAAAAAATAACAATATTAAAAACCATAGAAGTATTATAATGGGGAATGAATGTGATATACTACTTATATTTGTCTGACAAGCCATAGAACAGAACTAAAAGAGAATGTACTAATGGAGTAAAACTATAGAAATATTTATATAAAGCTATCCATGTTAATCTGAACAAATGTTAAACCCAGCCTGTTACTCTAAATGATTTTTCTCTCAAAGCTAGAGCTTGAATCTTAAGTATTTTTAGTATACTTTACAATTCTGGATTTTCTGTTCCTGTTTGAACCTAGGAAGCAGCCTAGCCTCAAGGCCCAGCTGACACCAACCACTCAGTGAACAGGAATTCAGTTTCCAAAAAAGCCTAGATGGCCAACTCAAGAATGGTGACCATAAACATCCATAAACACCTAATGTCCTGCACAGCCTATATATCCTGCGCTGTCCAAAGCCTCTCCCACTAATTTCGTTGTTCTGCTTTCCCTCTTCAACCTGGTGAAAACCCTAGCCTGCACTGAGATGTTAAGATGAAGTAAACACAGAAGAAAACAAGAACTGGCTTTTAAGATGAGTTTTGGGATGAGAGTTCCTCATCTTCTCAGGCTGCTGGCACTTGAATAAACCTCTTTCCTTCCCACCAGCACCTGTCTCACAAGTTTGGCTTTTGTTGAAATAGGCAGCCAAACCTGGGTTTGGTTATTTTATCAGTTAGGTTTATTGTCATCTATCTGGCAGGCCCATATACATTCAGGAATCTTCAAGGTAGGATCCTTTCAAAATAAACAAACCAAATAAAAACTATTATTTTACAAAGTAAGGTCCTGAGTCACAGGGAGCAAGTAACTTTTCCAAAAGCACAGAGTTGAAAAAGCATCAGAAACACAAGCTGAAGTCAGGTACAAGATGCTCCGTAAGTCAGTACTTCCTATAGGAGTAGCCATATTGGTGAAATTCTCCTTTTAACTCTTATAGGGTACCTATTGAGGTGCTATGATAAAGGAAAATGTTTTAAAAGACCAGAGTTTCACAGTTATTTTCAGGTTAAAACACTGAAAAAGAAGTCCCTAATTGTCTTCCCACAGGAATTATTTCCACTCTCCTGGTTAAATTACCTGCACACACACTTCTCTGCCATTACTCTCTTAAGATTATGAATGCATAGCAATGTGCCAAGAAAATGAGTTCTCAATGATTGTTGACAATCAATGAATATAATAGTTGTTCAATAAGTGCTCACTTATTGAATTCAACTGAACAAAATTCAACTGAATTCAACTGTACACTGAAGAAAAAGAAAAGCTCAATCATCTCCATAAGAAAAGATTGGAATAGAACCATTTCACATCTCTGAAAGAGAAAATGTAGTTAAAGGCTCTGAAAGGAAACACCCAGACTCCACTATTAAGAATATATGACCTAAGTCTCTATACAGCTCCATCTGCTTCTCATCCTTGCAATTTACCTTCCCTGGAATCTCTCTATTTTTTCCTCTTTAGCTACCTCCTCCCTTTAGGTGAGTGAGATATAGGGTGGCAGTTTCAAAGGAAGGGAACAAGCTCACAAATAATCACAGTCCCTTTCCATCTGGTCCATTCTCTTACACCATCCCAGATGGCAAAAGGCTTGAGTGGGAATGTAAAATCCTCTACCTTTACTTCAACAACCCACCCCAGCATTCCAACTCTCAAGAAAGCGTAAAATTAGCTCAGCTTGTCAGTCAGGGAGCACAGTTGGACTCTAGCTAAATTCTATAAAATGGAAAGGAAAGAAAACTTTGGAAAGTTAAACTGAATGAGAAACCTTTTCCTCAGGGCAGGTAAGGCACTTCTAATGACTTTTCACTAGAGAGAAGTTCACCCAGGGACCCTGGCCTTCATCCTCAGGAGAAGATGGGCCTCAGGCCACCTAAGCTAGAAACATTCCAACAAATGCTACAGAATCAGTTTGCCAGCAGCCTGATAACAAGGAGCATCACACACCCAATTCCCTGTGCTTTTAGTGTGCAAAAGGTATTTTAACTGTCATTTGATCTGAGGATTCCCAAGATCCTGCAGGGTGGCCATGGGGCAACCTGTCCAAAAACAAAGTCTGCCTGGTCTTACAGAGGCAAGAGAAGTGAAGGTGTAGGAGAGGGACAAACCCACAGAAGCCAGGGCCACATACCTTAAGCTCTATTGTTTGGCCTCTATCCCCCAAAGCTGTTCCTGTCATGTTATGACAGAAAAGAGGCACCTGAATCCCACAAGAAAAACTATGGGAAAGCATTTCCTTTAGCCTCATAATGGAGGCAGTCTCTTCCCTGCATAGCAGCTCCAGGGAGCAGTTATTCACTATCTGCCAAAGGGCAATCACATACAAAAATGGGGGAGAGAATTAAAAAAAAAAAAAAAAAATGGCAGCCGAGAGCCTGCCAAGTGCACATCCTCTGAAATTAGCCAGCACCATTTCCATAAAGGTGGAGGGGAAGCCAGAGAGTTTTGATTTCCTACTCAGTTTTTCTGTGCACCTTGCCTGGGATAAAGTCTTAACTCTATTCCGCTGCTTGATTTTCCTAAAGATGACAAAAGATCATTAAAGCATGTGGTCTTTACCTTAAATGTTCTGTAACACAAAAAAACTTTGATTCAAATTGAAGGGTACAAATAAAAATGAAATTCAGATAAAAAGGAGAAAATCAACTCATTCTGTAAGTAAATAGTTAATTTTGTCAACAAACACAGGAAAAGACGCTCGACATCACTAATTATTAAAGGAAATGCAAACCACAATGAGATGCCACCTCACCCTCAGTAGAATGGTTACTATAAAAAAATAAACAAAAATACCCCACAACCCAGAAAATAACAAGTGTTGGTGATGATGTAGAGAAACTGGAGCCCTTGTGCACTGCTGGTGAAAATATAAAACGGTGCAACCACTTTGGAAAAAGTTTGGAGGTTCCTCAAAAACCAAAAAGTAGTTCACCCTATGACCCAGACAAACATTCCACTTTTGGATATATACTTAAAAGAACTGAAAGCAGGGTCTCACAGTTATGTGCACACCCATGTTCACAGCAGCATTATTCACAATAGCTAAAATGTGGAAGCAATCCAGTGTCCACCAATGGAGCAGTGGATAAGCAATTTGTGACATATAATACAACAAAATATTGGTCAGCCTTAAAAAGGAAAGAAATTCTGACATAGCTACAACATAGATAAATCTTGAGAAAATTATGCTAAGTGAAATAAGCTGATCACCAAAAGATAAATAGTGTATAATTTCACTTATATGAATACTTAGAGTAGTCAAAACCATAGCAAATGGTGGGGCCGGAAGTGGAAAGGAAAAAAAGCTACTGCTTAATTTAAAAGGCACAGTTTCATATTTGCAGGATGGAGGATTCTAGAGGTGGATGGATGGTGGTGACTGCTGCTGGGCAATATGAATGTATTCAATGTATTAATACACTTAATGGTTTAGAATATTATAATACATGTATTTTACTGCATTTCTTTTAATGAGGAAAAAAATTAGTTAACTAAACCTGCTTTTCCCACAAAGAAAAAAAAAAAAGTAATCCTACTAGGGGAAAGAGAAGAGTAATGAAGAAAGAAATCACAGGTCTATCATGTATAAACATTAGCTGTTTTCAAGCTCTTCGAATTCTGGGCGTGGCTGCAAAACCTATTAACCACACCCATCCACCCCTCCTAAGCCACTCACCTCACTGAGGTAAATAAAAAAGGAGCAGGTGGACCCATCCACTCCATATTCTGCGTAGCAGGGATCCGAGCGCCACATATCTTTCATCCACTGAAACAACAAGAGCCAGGTAAGAACACCTCTCAATGGCCCGTTCTAGGTGACCCTGCCCATCTGCTGATAGAGGAGAGGATATGCGTACTGCTCAAGCTGTGGCCTAAGCTCAGTCACTTAGCTGAGGTCAGGATGACAGGCGCTGAGCCCCTGCAATAACCAAAGATGCACTGACTTGAGCTGGGCATTGGCAGATGTGCTTAGTTAAGGGTAGAGAGAGGCTGGGGACAAGGCAACAAAGCCCAGGAGAGGCAATCGCTAGGAGAGTTTTATCAAGAGCAGGTGCCTGATGGGACCCTGCACCCAAATCCCCTCTGCACAGAGAGCTGGTGTCACCAGGTTAGCAGTTTCTTTCGTGAAGAGTACATGAATGAATGTGGGAGTCCCAAATGGAGACCATGTGAACGTTTCTGAGGTTTGGTCTCCCCCTCCTAACTGTACCCCAGAACCGAAACTTTTCTCTGGGAACCACTGAGCAGGGGAGTGGTCTTCCCAAGGACAGGCCATATAAATAAGGTTCTTAAAAATGTTAAGATCATGGTCAGGTGTCTCTGGGTATTCACTGCAAATGTAAATATGACATTTAAATGATAACCTGGAGACTCAGAAGTGGGGCTCCTCTCAGGGATGGGAGAGAGAAGTTGGACACTAAACAATGGCAGCCCCTTGTCACTGATCCCTGAAAGATCACCTGCTGGAATCTGGGAACATCCCCATGGATGTTGAAAGGCTGCTTCAAAGACACAGAAGGGGACCAAACTGGTCCAAGCTCTCTCAGTCTGACCAGTGAGAGCCACTGTTGACTAATCCCATGGAGTTGGCTCAGCAGGGAAGAGTTGCCATGGCCACAGCTCCAAACAAGCAGGACTGAAGCAGCCCTTATGACTCCCTTAAAAGGCCTGCTACCCCTTTAAGGAAGTGCATGCAGAACTAGGATGATGGAAATAAATACACATCACTTGGCCTTACCTTGATTTTCCCCTCACAGTGGGGGTAGCCATCCATAGGAGGCAATACACATTTTTCTTGAGCTCCATTAATGATATCTGTAAAAGATTAAAAAGAACAAAGGATACCATGAAGTTTATGAAAAACGAGCCTAACATTCATGCTGTGACCCATGTAACCCCTCCAGCTGGCAACAGGTCTGACCTGACTGAGGAGGCCCACCTACGGCTGACCGGGAACCTATGATGTGTGTGGCCCAGCCTGGAAGGGTGAGCTACACCAATCAGAGTGGTTGCTTAGAGATCTGCAAGTGAGAAACTGAGCAACCAAAGAAATAAGGTGCAGAAAACAAAGCCATGGCCCCACCAGGCAATGCAGGCAGACTGAGGTCATGAGCAGCTTCATGAAAACGTGTGCTCCAGCAGAGGCAGCCAGCAGGAGAGAGGTGAGCAGAGCCCATGTGTAGGGAGCAGAGAGTCCTGAGATACATTTGTGATGTAGAGTGTAGAGCTTCTTATGGACACAGTTCTTAAATTGCCTCTAAGATCTCCTTACTGCTTCAAATATTTCCTCACCACAAGCTCCCTTTTTACTAGCCAGCCCCAAGTAGATTCCTATTCATTTTAACTACAGAGTAAGAATAACAAAGAATGTCTTTAAGAAGCTTTTCGTTTAGTGGTGAACAACAGATGAATAATTAAACAGCTGAGCAGCATGAAAGACACCAACGGTCAGGGGGGGCAAGGCCAGAATGCCCATCCCAAGGGTCAAAGAAGGCTTCCCAGATCCAGCACAACTTGGCTGAGTTGTGAAGATGGAGTAGAAGCAAGTCAGATAGGGACAAGGTAGAGATGATCAGGCACCTAGGTGGATCCAGCCTGCGGATTGACAGTGAGAGGTGCGGGAGGTCAGACAAGGCAAGTAGGCGGGGCCCAAATCGGAAGGCCTCAGCGCCAAGTTCCCCATGTGTGCCAATGTGTGCCAGAGTTTCTGAAAGGCTTTGAGGAGGGAATGGTTGGGTCATATTTTTGTGTAGTAATGACTACTTTAGCAGGACAACCCTAAACCTACATGCTCCTCTTTTTGGACCTCCTATACTTTCCAGACCTGCAGGGAAAATGTCACCATTCCTATGCTGACAGTTTTCCATCTACACAGAGTATTAATGATAAATTAAATCCAAGCCACAATATCATTTAACAGTGGTGCACAAATGGTGTTGGTGGCTGCTGAGACTGAAAGAGAGGTGAGTGCAAAGTGCAAAGGAGAGTTTTGGTGGTATCTTTCTCTTAAAAACCAGTTCTTCTCATAGTCTAAAACAGATTTTTTCCCCCCCTCTTGATTCAGTGTTTTCAATGAGCATTCCATTTGCTAAGAAGGATAACTAAAACATAACACCAATATCCTCCTTATCATATATTGGGGGCTGTGCCATTTAACAGTCAATATGGAAAGCACTTAGCTTGTTGAAGTCCCTGTTTCCTCATTCATAAAATGGGAATAACCATACGCTGCTTCACCCAGTTCCCATTTAGTAAGTTAAAACATAAAAAGTCCTGCACTGCTAACGTCTAGTACACAGACCAGAGCCCACACTTACAAGCTGGCATTTGCTACGCAACTTTCACTCACCACCTGCAGGAAAATATATTTCAAGTGCACAGTCGCTCTGGAAGCACTCTCTCTCACTCATAAGGGAACCTCCGGCTCCATGATCCACTTATTGACTAGCTGGTCTTACCAAAGAATAGGACGCTTCTCCATACCTACCGCACCTATCACTAGCTTTAATTCGATTTTTCTGTGACACATTTACGAAGCAAAGCAGCAGCAGGGGTCCCAAGGGATGAAGCTGGGTCTAGAAGAGCTGGAGTGGGCAATGAGACATTTAAGGAGACACTTAGATAAAATGCCCCCTTTATTTATAATACATGCTCTTCTAGTTCCGATGCTCAGAGCCGGAAGTCCACAAAACTAGTAGCTGCTGAGTTGGAGATGTGATGTGTGGGGTGAAGAGAAATTACCGGGGGGTAAAAGGGACAAACAGGTCCATGAAGGTAAGCAGGCGAAGCATATCTGCCAACAGTGTGTGCCCTCCTCATCAGGCGTTATGTCAAGGGTAGGCAAACATTGCCCATGAAGGACCAGATTGTAAGTATACGAGGACCAGATCGTAAGTAAGTACACGGTCTCTGTTACAGGCACCCACTCTGGCTTGTACCAGGAATGCAGCCACAGACACTGGGACAAAACTATTCTGGCTGTGAACTAACATAGCTTGACTTAAAAAAGCAGGCACAGACCCCTGTGTCTGCTCTGCTAAGAGTTCCACATTGAGGAGCCTCATTTCTGCTAAGTCCTGTTGAAAAGGCCTTCTCTAGGACACCTGTCGGCATCCTCTGCCAGGAATGCCCTTCCTCTCACGCCACCGTGTGCCCTCCACCCCCTGCACCCAGCCGAAGCCTTCCTCTGTAAGCCCTGCTCCACACCACCTGGGAGGAAGCAGCCCTATGCTCCTTCCCATGCCCACTCAGGGCTTGGTGCTGTCCTCTAGCAACTCCTCTGGCTGTAACAATTGCACGGTTTTCTTTCCATTTGCCCATCGCCCCTCCTTGAGGACTGTATGGGAAGGTAATGCCCTTCTGCTCCTCCACCAGGCACTGGGTAAGTACTGCATGGTGGAATAAACACCCCCTGTTCCATGGGCACCCTGGGTCTGACTCTGCTCAGGGAGAACTGGGTGGATACCCCTGCAAGGGCAGGGCTCTTACTGCTCCTCCACTGGCAGCATGTCAGCGCATCTAACAGGGTCTCCTGTGCAAGTCCACTCTCTTAGGATGAATTTTCTGTTAAGTTCCACAGCGATGGGTGTGAATAGACAATGACTGCCACAAGCTCCGTTTACAGGCTTGGGGCTCTGCTGTAGGAGAGATCTGTGAACGGGAGAAGCAGGCAGCGTCCATCTTCCCCGCGAGGACAGAGCTGCTAGGAGTCCCACAACCGGTGGCCTGATAGGGTGCTCCCCACTTCCCAGCACCTCTGGGAGGACAGCTCCCCATGTTTCATCACAACAATAAAGACTCAACAAACTATGTTCTTTGACCCAAAAATTTTAGGTCCTTTTGCATACTTTTTTTTAAAATTATTTTTTAATTTTTTTATTAAATTATTATCTGTGTACATATTTTAACATTGCCCCCCACTCCCATGCATAGCCCCCCTCCCCAGAGTTTTGTGTCCATTGGTTGTACTTATATGCATGTATACAAGTCCTTCGGTTGATCTCTTTTCTCCCCCAGATCTCCCTACTCTCCCCGCTGTAATTTTACAGTCTGCTTATTGCTTTACTGTCTTTATATCTGACTTTTGGTTTGTCAGTCACAGCTGGACAATAGTTAACATGTCAAAACTAGATGTTATTCAGAACTATTACAATAGTGAAAAAGAGTAATTCCTATAGAACTGGGCTTATTTAAAAAAAACACACAACAACAACAACAACAAAAAACTATGTTCTTATTAGTTTGTATCCACAAAGCACTGTCCCACCTGTGGAAGAGCCTCCGATGTAAGTTTGGTTAAAAAACAAAAATTCGGGTTCATGTCATTGCTTTTCAGGAGCAATTCAGCTTCCTGTACACAGGCCACTTGAACAGGAGGAAACAAGATTCTGCAAGACAAGTTACTAGGATCTTCTCCCTGCTATTCACCCTGAGCTCTCCGGCATCCTAGTTTTTCCTTTTTAACAGAGAAAGGGCACAGGGGGCAGGGATGGGGGGGAGAGACAGGAGGGAGGAGTGGGCGGGGAGCGGGTTAGCAATGAGGCTCAGCTCTGTCCAAGTTCAGTTTCACCCTCACTTTCCCACATGGCATCTTGCACCGAGAACTTCACTTGGGTACTGATTTTAGGGTGTTGTCGACCAGGCATTAGATGAGTGACAGATGACCTAGATATGAAAATCCTGTTGTTTAATCCATCACCAGTACCACACACTGCAGGAGGACATAAACCCTGGGTTAAATCCAAAAGGACACGTTTCCTGTTCCCCACAATGCCTGCTTCTGGAAGGACATGTGCACGGCAGGAGTGGTCTCTGCACAGATCCACAGCAGGGCTCCTGTCCAGCATAGAGCCAGACTCTCTGACAGCCCCAAGATCTGCACATAATCTGAGTCACATACAGAGAGAGACAACGGCATAGCAAACACATACCAGAAAGCCACGGTGAAAAAGAGAGATGGAATCAGACACAGTTTTCTTACTTGTGCTTTTCTCCCTCTGAGGAAGGAAAGTGGGGACAGAGGAGGGCAGGAAGGGCAGAGGTGGCGGGGTCTCAGAGGGGCAGTGAGAACAGAAAGGGTGATACAGGAAAGGAAGTGGCCTGGCCTGTTTAGCTCAGTAGTTGAGCATCAACCTATGAATCAGGAGGTCACAGTTCAATGCCTGGTCAGGGCATATCCTAGTTTGTAGGCTCCATCCCCAGTGGGGGAAGAGGGGGGTGCAGGAGACAGCCAATCAATAATCCCCTATCATCATTGATGCTTCTGTCTCTCTTTCCCTCTCCTTCCTCTATGAAATCAATAAACAATAACAACAACAAAAACAGAAAGGAAGGTGAACGATGAAAACCTCCCTCAACAAATCACCTGCCTTTCTGAGGTGGTGTCACATACACTGTCACACTGTCCACTAACCACATCCTCCTGAAAAAGGAAGATAGTTAGCTATCTTATAGTTGGGAAAGAACAACTTTAAAATCCTCAGCATCTACTTCCAAACTCAGCTTGCAGTCACTGGGAACATCCTGCCAAAGCCTGCTGCTTGCCATGTGCTGAAAATGTCAGCTCTGTACCCTTAAAAGACAAGGTCTGTACCCACAAAGGGCTCACCATGCAGTGCTGGAGGTGGGACCACATACAACAGAGCGAGGCCCACGTCAGCAGAGCCCTTCCCCATGCGCGGCGTTCAGAAAGGCAGGACAGCCATCCTCGGTGCAATGGCCCAGTGCCCAACATAGCACCTGCCACACTGGGGACTTCATATGCTTATAAAAAGGCTCCAACAAAACGAGGCTGGCAGTCAGGTGTCCAATGCAAT